ATTCAGAGGGTGACAGGAACAGAATGGTTGACAAGCAGGTGGGAAGAGCTAAATTTGGCAGTCACATAGCTTTGGACTGACATTGATTGCTTGGGTGCACGCGGGGGCAAAATCTAACCTGTGGGGCAACTGGGCATTAGAGCTGTGAGACACACCTCGAAGAAAAACTGAAAAACTCAGTGAAATGAGTCTGCAAATTACTTAGCACAGTACACATAATCCTGCCTAACAAACACCAGGTAATACATACATGACCACTCTTTGTCCCATCTGGACTTAATCAGTTCTTTGTTTTTGACTCTTCTCTCATAACCTGCAGAGGGTGGCAGAGTGCTTCCGTCAGCTGCCTCTATTTTCTGCCTCTGCTTCTCAGGTCTGAATTCCCCAGGAGGTGCAGTAGTTCTGGGGTGATAGGCCCTTGAGATTTTAGGGGCCCATGAAAATGTTTTAATTTCTCCTGAAATCAGAAGACAAAACACATATTAATGAATGCACAACACTGAATCCAATCTGTATCACATTAATCTTTTTACCAGCACAGTTGTCAAATATAATTTTAAGTATATAATTTAAACAGAACCTTCTAAATCTCTTTTTTTTTTTTTCAAATTTAACTCCAGATTTCTAAGGAATATACACATACTGCTCTTTCCTGAATCATCAGTGTCAGACAGCAGCAATTGTCCTATTAGGGTAAATAAACATTTAGCTGCCTTCCATCCCCTACTTTTTTTCTTTTCTCTCCTCCAGCTAACAGTAGAGTTGAATCATAATTATTTTTATAAAATCTATATTTAGAATTTTCATTATTAGCACTATGGAAATTCCACTGCTGAGCCAACAATTCACACTTCTTTTCTTGTACAATGTTTAGATTGTTCAGAAGTTAATATTTGCCTCCCTTTTGCTATTTATTTAGTTATCTTTTTATAACACTCCTTAATTCTTCTTAAAGAATCCAAGTAATTTGTAAGGTATGATCAAAGACATCAGTATTTATCTGCTCCGTTCATTCCTCTGGAGCCCTCTCTTAGAACTGCCATCTTTTCTGCTGAAAGTGGAGGGGTCTCTCTGTCTCCACATCAGTCCTGGAACTCCTCCAGGAGGACTGGCTAGTTTTCTGGAACCACTATCTTGCTTCTTCCTGTGAACATTATTCCCCCCTTTTCTCATACGTACTCTTTTGATTGTGAGCTCTTGACAAAGCATGCATGAGATAAAATTTTTGAGTTATTGTGCATGTGAAAATGTCTTAATTATGCATTTTAACTGACAGATTGGCTTCCTAGAATGTTGAAATAGCTATCATATCTTAGCTTCAAGTGTTGTTGAAAAGTCCAAAGTCATTCTGCTTTTTCAGTTCTCTATATTGGTTGTGCTTCCTTTCTAGAAGTGTTTAGGGTATTCTCTCTATCCCAGAATTTCTGAAATTTCATGATGAGGTGCTGTGGGTGAGTCATTTTCATTCATTGTATTGGATATTTGGTAGGCTTCTTATAATCCAGAGACTAATTTCCTTCAGTCCTGTCAAATATTCTTTTTCTTCAAAATTTTCTTCCCTCTATTTTTTCAGTTCTCCCTTTCTGGATCTTCTATTAGTCAGGCATGTACCACCTGATATGGATTCCCTAATTTTCTTACCCTTTCTTTCAATGATCCATCTCTTTGTGCTACTTTCTGTATCATTATATTAAGTTTATCCTCCAGATGTTCTGCACAACCTATATCATCATCTAAAAACATTAACATTTCTTGTCCATCATGTGTTTTATTGTGTTCTCTTTATCCTTGTAAGATTTATTCCTTTTTAATTTCTTGACTGTCACTTTGATGTAGGTTAACAGAAGAAAGGGTAGGGAGAGCAGTTCTGGTGAGGGTAAGAAGAGAATGGAGGCTACCTGGTGGTCCACTTTCAGCAGCCTCAGTACTGAGGCTACCTGGTGGTCTTAGTCCCTGCTTTGTTGCTAACCTTCTTACCCCCTAGGACCTGGGCACATCGCTGGGTTCAGTCACTACCATCCACTTCAAGTTGACCCTTATTGACACCCTTAGTTTACAGAGACAGAGGATATAATGGAAGAATTCTGAATTGGAGTCCTATGGAGTCAGAAAAAAACCCAGCTCTGTGTTTTATTAGCAGCACCAACTTAGTCAAGGCATGAACCTCAGTACTCGCGTGCCCTTCTCTGTGAAAAGTCTCTGTCATACCTGCTGTACTTGTAAAGGGTGGTTATTCTGAGCATCAGACCAAAAGATGCTATGTTCCATCTTAACCACCACACCACTCCTCCTTGTAGCTCAGGGGAGTACCCTCTTGTCCCCGTTTCCTTGAACTAACTTATAATATTTTTATTTTCTCTATACTTCTTTGTGTAAGAGTGCTGGAAAACTGTATGGCATTACAAACACATTCATTAGAATTGATAGTGAATGGTGGAGCTGATCGTCAATGACTCAGGAAGATCCCACATTAGGAGGCAGGCAGGGCTTCAAGTTTATCTCCTGGTGCTGGCATGTCCCAAGTCTCCTTCTGAATGTTAGACTATTGGGATCCTTGAACTTGGAAATTCAGTTGTCTCTGTGGAAAAAACAAGAAGCTTTCCTGAATATGTACCAAATAGGACTTCCCCAGGAAATACAAATAGGAACTTGGGAGGTTTCAGCTTAAGGAAGGTGACCAGGGTGCCACCTTGTGGTTGGAGGATGAGTGGAAGATAGGTGCAGAGATGAAAGTTGCAACTAGTTTGTACTTTGTTTGAAAAAGAATGTGCCAAGCAACCCAAGGACATAGCTGCAGAATATAAAGGAGGTCAGGGAGCAAAATATTACCAGTATCTTCAGTAGCATCCAGTGGAGATGCCAGTGGGCACACATGCCCATCACATGTGGGGCAGCACATTTACTTAGCAGAGATGACTATATCCACATAAGCTTATCAACACCAGTAGCACAATACACAAATTTTCTTTGTCCCAATTTTATAATTAAAGAATTCTGCATTCAACAAATATTCATTGAGCACATGCCGTGTGTCAACCCAAAAAGGTGCTGGGTATATAGCAGTGAACAAAAAAGGCAAAGATTCCTGCCTTTCTACAACTTACCTTCTATGAAGAAATAACTATTTGAGTGATTATTCATTCTGCTTGAGGTTGGAATGCCAGTAATAAAGGCTAAGATTGGCTCTCTGGGACTCAAAATTAAGGGATATGGTTTCCCAATTAGATTTCTCCACAGGGAGAAAATGGACAATTAGCTAATTCAAACACCCAGTTGCTTGGCACGCTAAAAATTAATTAATTGCTTTCCAGTCTCCTGTGAATTTGGTTAGCTTAAGGTAATTCCCAGTACTCAAATACAAGTGCGCTGTCAAGATTGGGCTTCCAGACCCAAACAACTTCTGACAAGCCTCAGGAAAGAGATGCCTTCATGAAATTAATTTTCTCTAGCCACACCAGTCCTAAATACCCTTCTCCAATTTCTCGATCACATCCCTCACAATCTCTTACTTCAACAGATGCCTGTCTGGCACACATAATCATACTGTCTTCTGCAGAACACACATAGGAGCAGATCAAAGTGAATTATCTATCTATTCATTCCTCAACTATTTCCTGAGATCTATTATATATCAGACACAGTGCCCATGAGATGAACATAAGAGTTTCTCTCTGTAGGAACTCACAGCCCACTGTGACATGCAGTGGAAAGTTCTCTTGATGGACAAAGCTGAATTCTAGTCTTGGATCTGCTACTAACTTTGGCGATTCTCCTCTGTTTCCTGACCTTAGTTGTCTCATCTGGCAATCAAAAAGGTAGACTAGCTGCGCTTCTCTTTCTGGTTTAATATATTTCTGTGTCAGGAAAGTGTGTAGAGGGTTCCTTTGGAGGGCAACTGTGAGAAAAACACAAGATGTGGTTTGGTAGAGGAGGGCGGAGGAGGAGAGACATGGTTTTCCTTTCTCTGTACTTTTCCACCACCAGAAACTTTCATTGTTTCTCAGCAACACCCAGGTGTCGCCACACAGACCTCCCTCCCTTTGCCAGCAAATGCTGGGCTTAGGTGACAGAGGAACCGAGTGGGACTCTCAGGCCCTGGCGACATGTCGTCCTAGGAGTGTCATGAAGAAGCCCCAGCTCTGCTCGCCAAGTACCCTGCTTGCCTGGGGACCCGCAAACTGAGTTTGCACATAAGTACCGTCTCCTGGTGGGGTCCTGGCCCTCCTGAGGCTGAAACTGCTTTCTTAGCATATGGATTGAGGAGGAAAGCAGCTTCTTCACCAAAAGCAGTTTCACGCCTCCCATTTACTGCTCTCTTCAAATTTTCAAAGGAAGTGCAGAGACAAGGGTTTTTTTCCTTCTATTATACTTTTCCAAGAATTAGTCCTTTTCCTGCATTCTGACTTCCTCTAAATGCACTCACACTAACACCATCTGTATACAAATACCACACACACACACGCACTACACACAGATATACCACACACACTAATACACACTAACACGCACATTACACCCACATACACACTACACACACTCATACACACCACCCACCCACATCACACACACGCACTATGTGCATGCTATGTGTACACATGTGCACACATACACAAACCAAATGCTACATGCATACACTATACACACCACATGCAGGTGCCACACACCGTACATACATATAATTTATACACACACACTGAAACACCACACTTACACTATGTACATGCTCACACCACACACATACATCCCTCCTTTGACATATTATAGCTAAGGTAATGTTTTCTTTATTTATTCATTCAAAAATTATTAGGACTCCATCAAGTGCCTGAATGTGTTCTAGATTCTAGAGATACCAAGGTGAACAAAAGAAAACTAGGTCTGCCCTCAGGGAGAGTACTTTTTATGGGGGTGGGGAAGAAGACCATATATGCAGGTCAATGTCATAATGTCCAGTTATGATAATGCTGTGAAATGAAGGAAAGCAAGGTTTGGACAGTAGGGAACAGATCTTGCTGGTGGGGGACACATATAAGGTAAGCAGGGGAGGTTGCACCCCAGGAGATGTGAAAAGTGTATGTGTGAATTTTTCCAGTTTCCAAACTTTACCTCTTTAAATGCCCCCCCAATTTTTTATTCTAATTTTGATCAAAATTATTTAAAATGCACTATATACCTCTGCCTTATAATATAAGAATCCGGCAAGGTTGAGTCTTTTCTTGTAGACTCAGAATCTTTTTTAGGAGCACTATATAGTGCCCTGGGCTAGAATATAGGCCCACATTTCTCAAATCGAGCCACCAGGGCAGCAGAACCTGCATCCCTGAGAACTTGTTAGAAATGTACTTTCTCGGGTCCCAACCCATACCCACTGAATCAGAAACTCTAGGAGTAGAGCCAAGCAAGCAGTGTTTTAACAAGCCCCCCATGTAATTCTGATGCCTACTCAGTTTAAGGCTGCTCTAGGTTTGCTTGTGGAAGCCAGTAGCAGCTTCGTCCAGCCCCCAAAGGCTGCTTGGCTCTTTGCAGAGAGAGTGCCTGTCCCGTTTGTGTAAGCTCTGTCTCAAGGAGCATCCTCAGTACTTACTCCTTGTGGCTGTCATCGGGATGATTCTGCCTAATTTGTATTCCCTTCCAATTTGCTGCCTCTAATCCGCTCTGTACTGAGAAACCAGATCATCATCTATAACTTCATTATACAGAAAGTAAATTCCAGGACTAAATTACAGGGCTGCTGGAGCCTAATAGTAAATGAGTCTTTTGCTCTAAGAGAACGCAGGCTGTGGAATCAGGCTGAACATTTCTGTCCAGATGGGGATTCTGCCAGCCGCTCTATTTCCATTGTGCAACAGGGAAATGAAGTAACCACAGGATGGGGACTGAGACCACTGTGCCCACTGTGAGACAGACCTGAGCTAAAATGCCACGGATCTCCTGGCCTCCACAAGCAACTCCTCTGACAGGTAGACCACAGTGATGCTTTGTGTCTTCTGGAACTGGTGTCAGTTCTGACTTCGCGTAATCTCAGAACACTGATCATTTTCTTCTCTCCAGTGCACAGTAACTCTGGTAAAAGCCAAATGTCCATTTGGAGAAAGCTGGGATAAAGATTAATAGTATAAGTGTTTATAGTGTAGCGGGGTCGTTCCTCGAGAGTGACCTGGCCTCCTCCTCTACTACCGCATAGTCTTGGCAGAATAAAAATTGCCTGTGCCAAGGACACGCTCAACAGTTGTCAGTTCTTTTCTCCTTGGCTGGGAGATATGGGGAAGAAATTAACCTATGTGACTTTTTTGCACAAGCCATTGCTTTCGAGGAAGATTTGCTCAATCTTAACCCTTTTAAAAACAGACAGCTTTTCAAATATTTTTGAGATATAACATTCCTTACAACTCACTCTTTCAAGTGCACTGTTTAATGATTTTGAGAATATTCACAGAAGTATCCTTCACCACAATCAATTTTAAGATATTTTTATCATCCTAAAAAGAAGCCCTGTATCCCTTAGCCATCAGGTACACACATCTCCTGCCCTCCTGCAAAACCTCGTTATTTCCCCAAGCTGTGGGCAATCACTAATCTATTTCTATCTTCATAGATGTACCTATTCTGGACATTTCATATGAATAGAGCATACAATATGTGTTCCTTTGTGCCGGGGACCAGCCTCCGGCAAAATGTCGTGTCAGGGTTCCTGAAAGGATGAGACAGCGGCGAATACGAATGATCTGAAACTTAGGGGCTGAGGGGAAGGGGATGAGGTAGAATGAGGAGACACTGACACTTGGTGAGGTGCTAGTATCTTCTGCCCGAAAGGCTCAGCAGGTTCTTTATTTATACATTTTTTGCAAGCATTGAGATTACATTATCATGTGCATAGAAACAAAGCAGAAACAATCAGTGCATCTCTTTTTCTATGGGCTTTTGACCACTACATGCTCTCAGCAAGAAGGCAACCTTCAAGGCTAATAAAAAACTAAGCCTTACACTAGAACTCATTGTTTCAACCAAACAATAACCTAAGCCAGTAGATAGCCACCAGTACATCCCTATTAGCCAAAGCCTAAGCAAAAAAAGACTTTTCTTATTCTCATGGCCTTCACACCAGGGGCTGGCTGCTACTCAGCTATCAGAACTTTCTCTACCTAGAAACTTCTTAACTCAAATAGTTTCATTTAAAAACTTTCCCAAGAAACTGCAAGGGAAGGCAAAAAAGAACTTACAATAATAGTTGTATTGTAATGCTTGTCAGGCATGTTTAATAAACCATCTCCCATTGTCAAGTGGGCCAAACTGTTTAATAATTAATTTCTAAACAAACAATATTTCATGCTATTTACTTACAATATGCTGATACATATAATTTATTGCCTAATATACTTTCTGATAAATTTTTCTCTCTCTATGTCCATGAACAAAAAGCAAAGGGATGCCATATCTTCAGCCCCATGGTGTGAGGCCCTTTGTCTTTGCTGCTTGTCAGTATCCTATCTGGCTGGAGCAACAAGGCCTCCTGCAGCACCTTTGAGACTGCTGTCTTTCACTTAGCATCATGTTTTCAAAGATCATCTTTGTATATCAGGTATTAGTGCTTTAATTCTTTTCATAATTAAATAATATTCCATTATATGGTAGAGTGTCCCATTTTCTTTATCAGCTGATGAATTTGAGTTGTTTTTACTTTTTTTGGGCATTAAGAATAATGCTACTAAGAACATTTATGTATAAGTTTTTTTCATTTGTTATAGACGAAAGTTTGTGTTCCTTCCAAATTCTCCCGCTGAAGTCCCAGCTCCCTATGCAATGTTATGGAGAGTGAGGTCTTTGGTAGTAATTAGGTCAAGAGGGTGAAGCCTTTGTGAATGGTATTAATGCCCTTAAAAAAGAGGAGGAGGTCAGAGCTGTGCTTTCTGTCTCTCAGTCTCTGTCTGTCCTTCTCTCTGATTCTCTCTCCTGTCTTTGTGAGAACACACTAAGAAGGCGCTCTCTGTAAACCAGAAGAGGGCTCTCCTCAGACACAGACCATGCTGGAACCTGATCTCAGACTTCTAGCCCCCAGAACTTTGAGCAATAAATATGTCTATTATTTAATTTACCTCATTTGTGGTATTTTTATGTTGTCTGAGCTTGTGCTTTGGGTGTCATATTAATAATCATTGCCTAGGGGCCTCCCTGGCGGCACAGGCAGTTAAGCGCAGCACTGTGAAGCTGTCCGCAGCCTCTGCAGTGCCAGTTCAATCCCTGCCAGCCTTGGAGCAACCCACATGGCATGGCAGACCTCTCCTGTCTCACCCACTGCTCCCCTCAGCAGTGTGTTTTGGTCTTTCTGCCTGTTCTGTTCCCTGCTCTGTCTCTGGTGAATCCTCTCACCCTCCCACACATCTGGACTGTACCCGGCTCTTGTATAAATAAAATAAATCTTAAAAAAAAAAATCATTGCCTAGTCCAAGTTTACAGATTAATCCCTAGGTTTTCCTCTAAAAGTATTATAGTTTTTAAGTCTTACATTTGCCCTTTGATCCTTTGAGTTAGTCTTTGTTAGTGATGATGTAAAATAAAGGTTCAACTTGATTCTTTTCCATGTGACTATCCAATAGGCCCAGTGCCATCATTTTGGAAAGACTACTCTCTCCACTGAATTGTCTTGTCATCCTTGTCAAAAATCAATTGATCTACCTATTTTATTGTGTATAATTTTTTTACCTAATACAATTTTACTGAGATGGTAAAACACACATGAGATGGTAAAACACACACACACACACCCGACAAAACAGACACACTGAACAAAGTCAAACAGTGTAGAATATTCACCTAATTCTGGATGGCAGCAGAGAATGGCCTTCACCCTATGTTAATAGTTTCCACTGTCTCTCCGTATACACCCAACAATTTGCCCTTCAGCTTGCTACTTGGCATCATGTACTAAAAAGATTTCACCCTATCTAAAGCAAACAAAACAGATCCCTGAGAAGATACTAGCCCTCGATAATTAGAGATCTTATATTTGCCACAATTTAACAAGTTTTGTCTCTTCTAAGGCTAAGACTTTTGACCAATCTGGGAGAATCCACTAAATTTATTTTTCTTGTAAAATATAAAAAATGTTGAGGATAAGGCTGTTTTTCTGCAAGGGTCAAGGCATCTGTTTCCAAGCTGCAGTTCAATTGCTAGCTCTCAGCATTGCTCCCCACTAAATTAATCTCAGTTCAGGGAAATTGCTCTATCAGGTAGAGTCTCACATTATTCAACCTAAGATGATATTCATTGTGTAAGCTGGGTCCATTCAGAAGGTCTCATATATGGCATACAAGTCAGTTCTGATTATGGGATACTCTACTTTATTATGGTTCGAAACCGAATGTCATGTTCATTTGCTCCTTATCGAACACCTACTACATGCAAAACACCATATGTGTATTGTGGGAAGGTGAGGTATGAGAATTTCCATTGAAAGGCATCGTGCTCACTGTAATGGAGTTTATAATTCAGCAGAACCTTGCCAGATCTGAGTATTCAAGGAAGCATGAATTGTTAAAATAATTATGGATTTCTATTAGATAATAAAATCTAGATCATTCTCAGATTCAATAATTCACTTGAAGGACTCACAGAAATCATCATTGTTTATAATCATGGTTCTATTCTATTGTGGTGAAATGACACAGATTATGATATACTTCAGAATAAAGATGGATAGATGGAATCCAGGAGAGGCCAGGCACAAGCTGGACATTGCTTCATTCCCCACGCAACAATGCATGACAGTACACGTGAAGTATTATTATAAGAGAAACCCACCTAAGCCTTGGTTTTCAGTTTTTCTTGTGGTTCACTATCATGTAGACCTGACTAACTGCCAGCATGGTGGTTGACCTGATTCCACTCCCTCCAGAGATCAAGCTGATAACCTTGAACAAGAAAAGAGAAATTTGAATTGGGACAAATGTCAATGTCTTAGATTGTCCTTTCAGTGATACCTATAGCTTTTTCCACTAAAGACAGACTCTGTTGAGTGACTTTATTCCTTGGAAAGCTAAGTCCCAAGACCCTTGGATCCTAGACCCTTGGGTAAACACAAATACTTTTATCAGGTAGAATATTCTAATGACTTAGAGATTCTCTCCTGAGAGCTGAGCTAGGATCAAGCCTTTGAAATGTGCAGGGTTTAGGCAACCCACATTTGCTAAACTAATCCTTTATTGAGAAATCCTTTTTATTAAAAAAAAATCAAAATTTACAGGTAAGTCATCTCTTCCTATGTCAAGAGCATCTTTACAAATGTCATGTTAACCTGGGCGCTCTAGCTAAAAGTCCATGATAGTGTGTGTGAGGACCCTATTTCTCAGAAAAGCTTCCAGATCCCTCAGGGAGAAGGAAGAAAAAGAAAGTAAAAAAGCACAATTAGGGTTAGAATAACATTACATGTACTTCCCAAAGAATTCTTAGAACCTAGAGATTACATTCTATTTTAGTCCAAATAAATTATGGGAAATTCTAAACTAAAATGTTTTTCTTATGAAAAGTAGACAATTTCAAGAGACACTTGACTTCAAGCCAGACACAAGTCCGGGATGGCTTGTGCTAGTTCCTCTGGGATCACAGGGGAAGACAGTGTGAAGTTGAAATTCTATATCAGATAGAACTGGGTTTGAGTCTGGCTTTATCACTTCTTAGTGACTATAGTAGGTTGAGTTGTGTGTCTCCTACCCAGGAGAAAAAACAACAGCTTTGTACATTCAAGACCTAACCCTGGTACCCATGAATGTGTCCTTATTTAGACATAGCATTTACAGTGGGGCATAAATCCAATAACCAGTATTCTTCTTTTTTTAAAGATTTTATTTGTTTATTTTTGAATAGAAGAACTGGAGTGTAAGCCAGAGGTGGGGAGTTGAGAGGATTCACCAGAGACAGAGTGGGGAGCAGAACAGGCAGATGTACTGAAATACACTTTTTTTTAATAAATTATTTTATTTTATATAATTCTTACATCATTTTTCATTTTTGCATAATGTATGCATTTTCATTTTGGTTATAGTCCCCATACAATTCCCACCCCCTTTTTCTGACCCTAATCTCTCTTCTCCTCCCCCTGCCCCTCACTGTAGTGTGTCTCTGGTCTATAGTTGCTTGTTCATTTTGATTTTTACTTTATCGCAATTAGTCTTTCTCCTGGTCCCTTATTTAGGTTTTCTAAATTCCTGCTATGAGTGAGACCATTTGGTATTTTTCTTTTTCTTTATGGTTTATTTTGCTGAGCATGATCCCTTGCAACTCCATTCATGTTGCTTCAAATTACATGAGTTTATCTTTTTTGATTACTGAGTAAATACTCCATTGTGTATATGTACCACATCTTCTTGATCCAGTCATCTATTTCTGGACATTTGGGTTGTTTCCATAGCTTAGCTATTGTAAATAGTGCTGCTATAAACATAGGGGTGCAGGTGCCCTTTTGAATTAATGTTTCTGTGTCCTTTGGGTAAATACCTAGGAGTGGAATTGCTGGATCATATGGAAGTTCTATCTTTAGTAGGTTGAGAAATCTCCACACAGCTCTCCATAGTGGTTGGACCAGTTTGCACTCCCACCAGCAGCGCAGGAGAGTTCCTTTTTCTCCACATCCTCACCAACATTTGTTGTTGCTAGTTTTTTTTTTTTTTTAATATGTGCCATTCTCACTGGTGTAAGATGGTATCTCATTGTGGTTTTGATTTGCATTTCCCTGATTACAAGTGATGTTGAACATTTTTTCATATGCCTTTTGGCCATTTGCATGAAATACACTTTTTGAGGGGAGCAGCAGGTGAGACGGGAGGGAGCAGTCTGCTGCACCATTATGTGGGTGAGCTTCCTGGCTGGGAATTGATTTCAGGTAGCAGTGGTGATAATGCTGAGATTTAACCCCTGGGTTACCAGGGAGGCCCAATAATTGGTATTCTTATAAGAGAAAGGATAGGGAGATATTTCACATCCACAGAGACACACGGAGAGGCATGTGGAGGTGGTGGCAGAGATTTGGAGTAATATAGCTTCAAGCCAAGTATTTTCAGGGCTGTTGTCACCAGAAGCCAGGAGGAGGCAAGGAAACTTCCCTCCCCAGACACTCCAGTCTGCTGACAACTTGATTTAAGACTTCTGGCTTCAAGAACTGTGACAGATGCATTTCTGTTGTTTTAAACCAAGTTTGTAGTAATTTTTTTTTGGTCAGTGTTAGAAATTAATACAGCAGTGACCTTGCATCATTTCCTGAATTTATCTGGTCCCTAGTTTTCTCACTTACAAAAATGGTAATACCCACACTTGAGAAGGTTAAATTAGGCAATGTGTACATGAAAGGAAGAAGTCTTTCTAATTTGAAATTTCTGTTTCCTAGACGTTTTCAAATGCTTTGTCAACATACTACTTTCAGGGATACCAAACTATGGCTTTATGTTTTATTGATATTATGACTATGAATTCAATAGAGGATGAAACTCAGATTCTATGAAATCTTGCTTGAGCAAAAGAGTGAGCAAAGGTGTAAAAGAGTAGAGAAGAGAAATGTAAATTGGGACAAATATCAACTTCCTAGATTCT